ACACACACAAAATGCATGACATCATGCAGGCGGCTGGTTGCAGTGCAAAAATAGTATTTTGCACCCAACACTAGCTAGAACAATTTTTTTGTTTTTCTGTAAATACATTATCAAACGTAGATACATCCACATTCGTAACTGTACACTTGGAGGGCCATGTGTCTCGCTAAGAGAGCAACACACATCCCCCCTTGTGCAACTACGGTGGCTGGTGAGTCGTGCGCGGATTGCGCCAGATGGATAGGAACTGAGCCGTCCACTTCGTTGGCCCTTCCGTACTGCATATCCCCTGCAACTGCTTCCTCTCGTCGGCCGCCACCTGGCTCCAACGATCAGAATCCCACCCACTGCCTCCATCACTCCTCGCCGTCATCCTAGCCCTGGATGCCAGCACCACTCTTACATGTGTTACAAAATCCAGCACAGCACATCGTCCCACCTTCTTCCTTTCAAAACCAACCGCCCGCCATGCAGCGTCACACCTCGCCAGCCACACATGCCTCAAAACTACCGCAATCAGCGTCATCTCAGGGAAGCCCGTAGTCGTGCACCTTGGTCAAAAAGCAGGTCCCCTAATGAGTCCATTGGCCTGCCCGGGTTCATCAGCTGCAGCGACCTCTTGAGCGCGCCAATGACCGGCTGTATGACCGGGCAGCTGTGAAGACAATGGGCTAGGGTTTCAACCCCTCCACAGTGCGCAGAGTAGATCCTATTGCTGAAGAAATCCAGCCTCGCCCCCACCTGAAGGTTCATGCTGTGAGCTCTGAGGAGAACATCCCTCGCCTTATGAGGGACATTCACAGAGTCACGAATTGTGATAACTCTCTTCCAGTCGATCTTCTTGCCCCATAGTGTTTCCCACTCAGCCTGCCTCCAAGAACGCCCTGTCCCCTTATGTAAGCGCGGCCCGGACTTGGCGTAACGGCACCAGAGACCCCCCGACAAACAGTCCGGTCTTGATTAGTAGCTTCACCTTCGGGTCCCCCACCGGTCCCACCAATTTATTGTCCGGAACCACCACCGGCTCCACCCTGCACACCTCAAAGCAGCCCATGCTCGTCCCCTCCGCAGCTCCCAGCGTCCCGTCGTCGTCGAGGAAACGGAGCGCGACATTGGGCTTGTCTCCAACAGCTCCCCTTACTTCCCACGGGTGCACTGTCGGCACACCCCTGATGATGTATCGCACAAAGCTAGAGGCCTCCTGCACTGCCTCTGTCGACACTGGTTCCTCCACCATCGCCTTCCACGTATCCGGGATGGCCTTATACGCCTTCACCGCCATCGTCGCCGCTTCCTCACTACATAGCTCAAGCGCCAACACCTCTTCTCCTTTCAATACTCTCCGCCACCCGAGGCTGTCTGTGAGCAGGTCCTTCACCCTCGTGGTCATCAGGCTCTCCGTGCCTTTCTGCAAGCCGAACGGACTCTCCCCCCGGTGCATGATCCACCGATTAAAACACAGTAACTCTTCCTCCACCTCCCATCTGTTTGCAGGTTCCGGCATTGCCGCATAAGGGGTTTTGCAGAAGACTTTCACTGCCGCCTTCCACCTCTCGCTTCCTTGTGCCCAGCGATTCTCCGCCGCAGGGTGTGCGAACAGTGTGGCCACCCCCTGTGGGAAGCCTGCCGCTTTCTCCGCCAGCCACCGACGCGTCCCCTTCGGCTCGCTCAGCAGCTTGCCGATTCTGCGGACTGCCAAGCCGTCCAGGCATATCTTCGGGTCTAGTTGGTCCAGCCCCCCGTCCTTCCTCGGGAGGCAGGCCAGGTACGCACTCCACAGTATGAAGATCTTTTCTTCCGACGCCTCCCCCCCCGATACAAAGGCATGGCAGAGCTTCCATATTTTTTCCCACGTTTTTTTCGGCGGCGAATATACCTGCGCTTGGAACATCAGCACCGGTAAGACGTAGCAGCTAACCACCGCCACCATGGCTGTCGTGTGAAGTACTGCGTCTACCACTTGCCTAACTCCTCTTTTATCCTCTCATACGCTCTTTCCCAGGACGGCCCAGCATCTCCGCTCGGCGTGATCCAGACCCCCAGGAGTCTCTCCGGCTCTTCTTGCGCAGCCCACTTATATGGGATATCCACCGTCGCCGGCATACCCCGGTTGCTTCCCAACGGCACCACCGCTGACTTACTGATGTTCACCCTCAGCCCGGATTGCTTGCCGAAAACATCGAGCATCTCCACCGACTCCCTCAGTTGCTGCTCCCCGTTCAGCAAAAAAGAAGTGTCGTCAGCGTACCCGACATACGAGAGCGGCTCCGTCCCCGCTTCCCCAACACCCAGCCTTCTGCGGCATGTCTCTCTCCAGAGCGGCTCCAGCGCACACAGGAGCAGGTAGGGCGCCAAGGGGCATCCTTGTCTGACTCCTCTGTTCATCTCCACATTTTCACTCATCCACCCATTAACTAAAACCCTTGTGCCCGCCCCCCCGTGCAGGCCCCTGGTCCAGCGGACAAACTTCTCCGGCATACCTAGCTTCTCCATGACCGTGAACAGGTACCCCCTCGACACTTTGTCATAGGCCTTCTGAAAGTCTACCAGCAGCAGCAGCCAGTCCTCCTTTCCCGAGTTCGCCGCTTCAACCGCGTCCGTAACTACCGACACCGCATCCGCTAGACTTCTCCCGGGTAAGAAACTATGCTGTTCCTTCGATAAGACTCTCCCGAGCACTTTCTTGATCCTCGTAGCCATAACCTTGGTGACCAGCTTGTACATGATTGTCAATAGAGTTATCGAGCGATAATTCTCCAGCTGATCCGTTGGCCCCTTTTTGTGCAGCAGCACAGTGACCGCTGTTGACAGCTCCTCCGGCATCTCTGCTGTTTCAGCAAAATCTTTCACAAACCGCATCACGTGCCCCCCTAACAAGTCCCAGTACAGGGAGAAAAACTCGGCTGAAAGGTCGTCTTGCCTCGTAGATTTCCCTCTGGGAAGACCTGCCAAAGCGTCCTTGACCTCCTGCGCTGACCAATCTGCGCCGAGCAACTCCGCCTCATCGCTCGTAAACGACGGCCCCTCCTGGAAAGCCACCCAATCTACTTCCTCCTCCGGCTCGACCTCTTTGAAGGCTGTTTTAAAATGATCCGCGGCTGCCACCAACACATGCCTCGTGCCTTGGTACATCGCACCCTGATGTGAAATCGCTTGAATCTGCGTGCGCTTCTTGCGCATCTTCACCTTCGCCGACAGGTACGGGGACGGTACCTCTCCACACAGCTCCACCTTGATGTCAGCAAACACCTGTAGTCTCTCCTTGCAGCTCGCTTGATAGGCCTCCATGTGAGCCTCTTTGCAGACCAGTTTGCCCTGTGCCCTTTTATCTGCCGGATGTCGCATCACCTTGTGTCGTAGCACTTCCACTTTTTTTTTCCAGATGCTCCATCGTCGCTCTCACCCTCTTCCTTTCTTCCCTCGTGTAAGCTCGTAGACCCGCACTGAGGAGTTGCAGCTTCTTTCCGAGGTTCATGTCCGCCTCCGTTTCCAGCCGTTTGAGCACATTCTCCGTTGCTACTCTGACCCCCCTCCTCTTAGCTTGCCACGCTTGCATTCTCCACAGGCCCGGACCTTGGTCGAGCGGGGACGCCACCGCCAGCCCAACCTTGACCCCGAACCAGTGGTCCGATAGTCCCTTTGGTGCTCTGACATGCCGCGCCTCTGCCAGGGCCCCCAGCAGCGACATCGACACCAAGCCCCGGTCAATCCTTGTGCTAGACTGCGTCGCTCTGTCGCGGAAGATGTACTCCAACAAGGACGGGTGCAAATTCTGGAACGCGTCCCTAAGGTCCTAGGCCGACCAATAGCTCAGCCACCTCTGGTTCTTGCAAGCCGACCTCGCACGGGAGGTCTTGTCCATGTCCGGGTCCTCCACCAGGTTCAAGTCTCCCATCAGGACCAGGTGAGCTGACGGTGGTTGAGCTTGCACAAACTGCGGTAAGCAGTTTCAGAAGAAAACCGCCCTGTTGCAAGGCTGCGCCGGTAAATAGGCCGCTATTAACATGAAGGTGATCCGCTCCGTCGTAACTGTTACGCCGACCAGCCTCCCCGACTGGTGCCTGACTGCATCAATAAGTGTCACGCCGTCTTTGAAGGATAGCACTGCCACTCCCCCCGCGCGTTCACTATTTCCTACCGCCACTACTGCCGATGGCTTAAGTTGTGTCCAGAAGTTGTGGTCTTCTCCTATCCTTGTGCCAGTCAACACCATCACATCTGCCGTTGTTTGAATCCATTTCTTGTGTGACGTTCTTTTGCCGTTGCCTCCGAGGCCGTTAACGTTGACCTCGCAAATTTTGAGATGGTTGTTGTTACCCATTATTCAACTATAAGAGAGCCCCTCCGCATCCACGGGCTTTGTACAAAGAAACTCCTCCTAACCACTTCTGTCTGATCATGGCAGGGAACCACAGGCAAACTTTCTGCGCCACATCTTCAACTGGCATCTCTACAGGCCTTACTCCTTGCGAACTGGGATGACCTTCAACTTCCCCTTGCTCAAACGGCTAGCAGTCCCCCCCCTTCAGGAGCGCCGTGCAGTGCTGGACGGACTTCACATGGGCCTCCGCATGAATAAAGCTGGTGCCATGAGATTTGTCGCACGCCTCCTGCACACAAACCCAGTCCTCTCGGCTTCCGCCAGTGGAGATCAGCACTACAGCCGGGTCGCGTAGGATCTTCTTCATGCGTGCATCTAGCACGTGCGATGCAGCTGCTCACGTAAGACGCGACGAAGCCATCAGCGAATCCGAACGGGACCCCGACAGCCTGAAAAGCAAGGTTAATGCACGATTGTTTACCGTTGATTGCATGTAAGCGCAGCAGCGTCAGATTCCACTTAGCAATATTGTCCTGACGCTCTGTAACATAGTCATCATGAAACTTTGTCAGGTGCATGCCTTTGCAGAAATCGCATGAAAGGGAAGGATAATGCACGAGGAGCATCTTATGGTGGACAGTGTCGGACAGCAGGTGCAACCAGCGATACTTATCCCCCGCTACCCTTTGACCAGGCCCTTGATTTTATCTGTATCTGCTCCCGTCACCGGATCCACCACACGGTGGAAAGCAGCACCGCTAAGGAACGGAGTGCGGCCGCCCTTCTCCAACACCGTGTTCACCAGGTACTTGAAGTCCATCTCCGGAGTAATCGCGGCTGGGACACTCTTCAACAGCACCTCGATGGAGTCCGGGTTCGTCGCGCGCTCGTGAGTATAAGCCGGGTTTTCCGGGTGTTGCCAATCCAAGAAGATGTTCTTGTCGTTCAGCATCTTATGCTCGATCCTGCGACACCAGACGTAGTTGGCATCCGACGCCTGCTGGAAAGTGACTTGCATCATCCCGTATCTCTTCTGTGACAGGTACGTAGGACATGCGCCGACATGTGCCTCCTCCACAGCGCAAGTAGACCCTTCACGGTGTCAATAATCCTTGGGACTTCCTCCTCAAACTTGATCGGGACCAGAAACGTGATCGAGAAGCCTGCACGAGCTGCGATCTCCCCGGCTTTAACCGGATCAAACCGTTCCTTTGGATCATTGCTGAGATACCCATCGTCCTCATCCTCTTCTTCTTCCTCCCCGTCAGCAGGAACTTCGGGATCGACCACCGGCGGCGTCACCTCATCCTTGCTGCCTTCTCCTTCTTCAGCATTAGCATCCCCACCCACAGCCTTCTCCGGATTAGGGAACATAAAAGCCGCGAGCCTCTTTACCAAAGAAACACGCGTGTCATCCACGAACGGACCGTTCACATCCTTCAGCGTCGGCTTCGGTGTCGCCGGCTCCGACTGATGACCCTTCAACGCTGACTCGCGACTGTCACCACCCGATGTCTTCACCGGCGGCTGCGCGGCCTTCCTCGGCTGGCGAGGCATGATGCGATGATGAGGAGACCCAATAAGCAGATCTCTGACGAGAGTCGGTAAAACAGCAGTTGCTGATAATAATCCAGCTCTGAGCATCGAAACTTTATAGCCAGAAAAGCGCAGCTTAGGCCTTGGTTTCTTCCTTGGTAGGTGGTGCTTGAAAATTAGAGCACCGGGATTGTTGCCATTGTTGATATGAGTTGTCCACGCGTCTATATCATGAACCTTAGAAACTGGTAGACTTGGAGCTATCAACCTTGGTAACACCAAAAGCGCCATAGAATCTGTAGTTGCATACAGGTTAGTTGGTGTGCCTAACAATGGACCCGATGGTACACAGGGCTGTTTTTATCAAGGTAATTACCCTGATTTCAGGGTGATTACAGGCTTTCCACTTTGTGGAGACTGTAATTTCAGAATTAATGATTTCTCAATCCTGATCTAATCAGAGTAATAGATTTTGTATCCCTGATTTTGAGTACAGTGTAACAATATAGCCTGTTAGTGGACCCTGACTTAAGAGAGTATCGACTCTGTGGTCCCTGAATTTGACCTTATCGGGAGGAAGTTTCTTGGAAATTTCTTCCCGATAACCTCGACTTCGGTTTGTTCGCAGTACAGCCAGCGCGCGAGCGAACCCCGAGGAAGACATTATCGAGACGAAGTTTCGTCGAAAGTTCGTAACGAGACACTCCACGGAGGTCGTGCTCGAGTTTCCGGGAAGTACCCTAATGTGCGTAGCCCCCGCTTTATTGAGAAGAATTTTCTTTGAAATTTCGTTCTTGTACACCCACCATCGAGGTTCAGTTTCGATAATGCACAGCGCGTTACTACACTGATCCTGACTTCTCGACCCTGAACCTACACAAATAACTTTCCAACACTGAGCAATCAGGGTGATGCTTTCCTGGAAAATGTGCACCCATAATAGAGGGGGGATTTTTTTCCCGGAATCAGGGCCCAGTTCGGTAGGCATTTTGCCATTATGGGCATTTTTAACGGGCCCCCAAAAAATGGCGCTTGGGCATTTCCAGAAACAACTTCGAAACTGGACTGTAGCTGCAGTGCACCTTCGAAAAAATGGTATGAGTGTTCGGTTGGCATTAATTGGGTGTAGATTGATGGCATCAATCGAGATTCCGGGTTTCGCAGAAGGTGTTCGAAAGTTGCCTTGATGGATCGCGTCCTCATGTGATTGGCTGGCATATTTGACCAGTCACTTTTGATTGTCCCGAATCACTGATACCCCGCATGGTGCGGGGCCTCGAGGCCGCATGGTGCGGCGGATCAGAAAATGGGCACTTTGCCAGAGAAACTGGGTTCGTGGAAGATTCGGGCAGTTGAAAGCGCCTGCAAAAAAAAGGGTGTTCGGGAGGCATTCCATTATTGTCTGGCTCGGCGATGATCCGCTTATATCGAGCCAAGATAACCCTTCACGCGCTTATCAAAGAAGGTTCCAGGGTGATCGGTTTAATGTAGCCCATCCGCCGAGGCCCTTTTGAAACGTCAGCCCTGATGGTACAATGCTCGTTATGTGAGCACGAAAAAGATACCCTCGTGTTCCCAATGCCACGTAGATCCCGAATCTGTCATCGCATGAAGCAACTGACAAGAAATTGTGTGACATTTGGCATAGGAGAGGTAGAGAGGTAGTGACAGAATCCACGGCGGAGAGCGAAGTTCAAGGTTCATTGTTTGAGAAGTTCAAGGTTCATTCAAGGTTCAAGCTAGAACACACTGTTTGCTAAGTCATACTGTTCAATTTCTATATGAATCTTCGGCACTAGAGAAAACAGCTGAAGAAACACAAAGCACAAGTGAATTGGCAATCGCACGCAAACAAAACCACAAAAGGAAGTTGACCTTCGCAGCACAATTTTACCACAGAGATGCTCCCGAGGTACTTCAAAAATGCCGAAACCAAACCAAGTGCACTACTTTCCTCCCATGACTACCTAATCAGTAGTTACTCGAAAGTAGCTTCACGGGAGGTTTCCAAACCCCCCATTTTTTAGATGCGGCGCGCGCGTTAGTAGCTTGCTTGTTTCGACTTCCGTCATTGCCACCTGCTCGTCTGTTCTTGCACCTCATCAGGACGGCCCCATTTGCTGAAGTCGGTTCACAGCGTAACCCTGACCATACCCTTCGCCGAACTAGTTCGCGACCATGAAAAGAACGCGCCGGAAAACGTCGTTGAAGGATGAAACGAAAGGCAGTCGCCTGCTGTCCCTTCCAGACGAGCTCCTTCTTCTGCTCCTCGCCCGAGTGAACCACCCCTGCGATCGCTGCAGCGTCGCTCTCTCCTGCTCCCGCCTCCACCGCCTCTCCCGCCGCACGCCCGTCTCGCTCAACTTCTTCTTCGTCTCACGTTATCAGTATCGCAACGTGCGCAGCTTTCTCAAAGCTTTCGACGATTTTTCGAGGGTATTTACCCACATCATCTCAATTACCGTGGAGGTTTGCTCGATACGGGGTAGCGAGCTGCTGGCAAGTATTGGTGCGAGCTGCCCGAAACTGGAAAGGTTGAATCTGGTGGCGAAATGGGGGGACTTCCACATGAACGCTGCTGCATGGACGAAGCTCACCAAGCAATGCCCGTGAGCTGCGTCTCTCGTCCTCGCTATTGACACTTGACTCAGCTCGTTCTTATAATGAGTCACACGATCGACCATTCAAGCTCACAACGGAATGACCTGTTGTTTCCCTCCTCCCCCTTCCCTCCTTCCTCTCCTCAACGCCCTAATGCCGTAACTCTTTTGTGAAGCTCGTAGCTTGATTTTTCCTGTTCCTCTCCTCTTCCCTCCTGCTTTCCCCCTTCCCCTTTCCCGGTCCCATTTTCTCTTCCCCTTTCCTCCGTTGCCTTCCCTCTTTCCCCTTCCCTCCTTCCCCTGGCCTCCCTCCCATGCCTTCGCCTCCCACCCTCCAGCCTCGTGACATCGCTGGAGCTCGACTCGCCGTTCGCCCGGCGCCCCATCATCTATCGACATTCCACTGGCACCCCCCTCCCTCCCATCCACGCCTTCCCCGCTCTTCGCTCCTTCGCTCTCCTCATCACTGCCTCGAAACTAACCCCCGTCACCCGCTGCTCCTCCCTCACCTCCCTCACTCTCTGGAACCCCCTTCCCTCCACCCTCTCCTCCCTCGCCTCCTCCTCCTCCTCCTCTGTCCGCCCCTCCCTCAAGTCCCTCACCCTCCACTCCGCCAAGCTCCAGTCCTGCGTCGCGCCCCTCGCATCCTTCCCTCGCCTCGCCTCTCTCGCCTTCCTCGCCTGCACCATCGACCCTTTCGAGCTGCACGCCCTTGCTCGCTCCCTCCACACGCTTACCCACCTCACTATCCACAACTGCCCCTTGGTCTCCAGCCACGCCCTCGCAGCGCTGGTTGAAGCCAACCCGGCGCTCTCCTCCCTCTCCCTCCACGGCACCACCTACCGCCTCTTCAGCGCCGCGCCCTTCCGCTCTCTCCTCCTCCTCTCCTCGCCCCGCCTGCACACGCTCGAGCTCTCAGGGCTGCCGTCCTTCCGCCCGGGCATGCTGGCGCACTGCAGTGGCCTGCACTCTCTGGCGCTGAAAGGAATGCCGGAGACGGTTGCTGAGCCGAGTGGGGGGGATGCTGAGAGTCGGAGTGGAGAAGGAAGGGGAGGAGGAGAGAGGGAAGGAGAAGGGGAAGGGGGGGGGACCATGATGCATCAACACGTGTCATTTGAGAGTTTCGTGGGCCTGCTGGTGCGCGTGGTGCAGAGGGGAGGAGAGGGCGGGGAGGTTGGATGGGAGGTAGACAGGGATGAAAAAGGGGAGGAAGGAGGGATGGTTGGAGAGGGAGTTAGAGGGGAGGAGTGTGAAGCAGAAGAGGTTGGCAGGGGGAAGGGAGCGAGTGAAGTCACCATTACTGCTGATGCCGCACTAGCAAGAGTAGGAGCAGCAGGGCCTGCGGCAGAAGCAGAAGCAGCGGCGGCAATAGTAGCACGAGCAGTTAACCCTAGAAACGAAGAAGAGAAAGAGTATGTGGACATTCGAACGGCGGCAGCAGCAGCCCGAGCGGACCTGATAGAGTCAAGTCGAGACGTGGTCGCTCTCTTGGATATGGCCAAGGATTGCCACACGGCCGTGCCTTCCGCTGCTCACTGGGCTCGCCTGGCGCGGGCACAGCGCCAAGATGCCCTGTCCGAGATCAAATACGCCATTGGTAAGATAAGGGCGGGCATCTCAACATGGCGGGCGCTGCGAGTGGCAGCCTCGCAGAAAAACGCGGCGACAGAGCGGGAGGATGCGGTGAGTGAGGCGTTTGCTGCTGCCACGACTGCAGGCGTGTTTGTTGACATGCGGAGCAGGGTAGGCGAGGTTGAAGGGGGGTTGGCTCGTTTGGAAGACTTTGATGGGATGGTGCTGGACCATGACTTGCCTGTTGATGGTGCTGATGGGGCTGAAGGGAGTGAGGATGAGGGTGAGATTGGGGGGATTGCTGCTGCGGTTGACCCTCAGGCACAGGCGTTGGGTGTGATGGAGTCGCTGCTGCAGCAGTTTTACGAGCAGGGCACTGCGGCGACAGTGAGTCTCAGGACCATGCGCATGCCTCGTGCAACTGCTGATGCTGATGCTGATGCTGATGCTGATGCTGATGCTGATGCTGATGCTGATGCTGATGCTGATGCTGATGCTGATGCTGATGCTGATGCTGATGCTGATGCTGATGCTGATGCTGATGCTGATGCTGATGCTGATGCTGATGCTGATGCTGATGCTGATGCTGATGCTGATGCTGATGCTGATGCTGATGCTGATGCTGATGCTGCTGCTGCTGATGCTGCTGCTGATGCTGCTGCTGATGCTGCTGATGCTGCTGATGCTGCTGCTGATGCTGCTGCTGATGCTGATGCTGATGCTGCTGATGCTGCTGCTGATGCTGCTGCTGATGCTGCTGATGCTGTTGATGCTGATGCTGCTGATGCTGCTGCTGCTGCTGCTGCTGATGCTGCTGCTGATGCTGCTGCTGATGCTGCTGCTGATGCTGCTGCTGATGCTGCTGCTGATGCTGCTGATGCTGATGCTGCTGCTGATGCTGCTGATGCTGCTGCTGCTGCTGATGCTGCTGATGCTGCTGCTGATGCTGCTGCTGATGCTGATGCTGATGCTGCTGATGCTGCTGCTGATGCTGTTGATGCTGATGCTGCTGATGCTGCTGGTGCTGATGCTGCTGATGTTGCTGGTGATGCTGGTACTGCGGGTGTTGCCACTGATGCCACTGATACTACTGATGCTGATGCTGCCGCTGATGCTATTGATGCTGATGCCGCTGATGCTGCTGCTGCTGATGCGGCTGGTGGTGATGCTGCTGATGCGGCTGGTGGTGATGCTGCTGATGCTGCTGGTGATGCTGGTACTGCGGGTGTTGGTGCTGCTGCTGGTGCGAGTGCTGCAGCCACAGAAGCAGCACCAGCAGATGGGGCAGCAGTGATCGGGGATGCAGCCGCAATAGCGGAGAAAACGGGAGGAGGAATATCACAGCCACAAGAAATAGGGATGCAAGGGGAGCTAATGCAAGGGAATAAAGTCTCAAGGGAGGGAGGACAGTCAGGCCACAGAAAAAACAGTGGCAAAAGGAACTCAATGGGTAGCAGCAGAAGGGCACGAAACCTGGGAGGCAGGTCGAGTGGCATCTCTAGTGGGATTCCGGTGGAGGTGTTCTGCCCTCCCTTACACTCCTTGACCCTACAAGCCTTTCACTTCATCTGCACTCCCGAGCCTACCTGGCTGCCTCCATCCCTTCCCTCGGAATCGCCTCTCATGTGCCTCTCTTCCGCTCCTGCATCCCTTCCTTCTTCCCGCCCCACTTCTCGCGTCTCTCCCGCTGCCATGTCAAGCCCAAGCTCTCAGCCGCAGTCATTTTTATCCGTTGCACTCGCTGCTGCTTTTGGGCGGCTGAAGCGCCTCACACTGGAGTCGTGCTTCGGGCTGAAGGAGGAGCAGCTGGGGCTGCTGCTGCGTGCTTGCCCCGTGCTGGTGGCCCTAAATGTGGAACACAGTGAGGACTTTTCAGACCGGGTGGTTGCAAGAAGCAGATTGGAGATGCTCACGCATTTGAGCATGCTTGAGTGTGATGCGATCACTGCAGATGGCATTGGACGGCTGCTGGGAAGCTTCCCAAAGCTGCATGAGGTGAAGGTGGAAGCAAGCAAAGTTGGTGAAAGGGCTCGCAGAGAGTTGCTTCGTGCGGGCGTGGTTCTGAGTCACAGGTGATAGAGTGCTGTGGAATGGAGCATCTCATGTGCTGTATTTTACATCATGTCAGATGATGTGTGTCCAAAGTGTGTTTAGTGGCGAGCAGATTCCAATGATTCATAGGGAACTCAAATTGTTTCAACGAGCTATTCCGTGACCCTGTGCGTGCATGCGCCCATAGGTACCGTAACCGCATACTAATAGATTTGTTTGATAGAGATAGGAAATATCGACTCGAAAATGATAAGGTCAATAGCAGAACACGCGCTGGAGCGGGGATGCCTGAAGTGTGTTGTGCTTTCGGTTTCCCGCGTCCAACATCACCGCCCCTACAGAGTAGAGCTCTTTTCAGCGGTTCGGCTCCGTGCCTGACATTCCCGCCGCGCTAATTGCTGTAGTTAGCTAGGAAAGCTTTGTTGTAGGCAGCCCGTTGGCCTATCTGTCGCGGTGGGGGGTTGGAATGAGCTCCATTTTCCCATCCACAATTTAATTGATCGTGGCATGTAGACGCTATTTTGTTAGTGGGAGAATCACTTCTGAACTGCAACTATGTGCAACCTGTTTTCTAATAAACCTCGTGCTGCTGGCATCATTTCGAATCTCGGCAAAGTTATTTATTTTCGCTCCGCATGGTATTCTGGTCTGGACTTGTCATAGAATAGAATAGCTAGGGCAGGCAGCCCAACGACAACCAACGACAACATCTGACGCGCGGCCCCATTTCATCCATCACCTTCGCTTTTCCCCCCCATCACCCAACCCAACCCCCTCTCACGAGTCAAATTTCTCCTCCCAACTCGAGCACTTGTTCAAGAATCCACATTCCTCCAGTGCCAGCGCCAGAGAGCCGAATCCACGTCTTTGTGTCCGTCAACATCCTTCCTCGTTGTATTATCTAATGTGGTAGAGGCGAATGAGAAAGCAGAAAGCAGAGCGAAACTTTATCCTTTCGTTTGCGTACACATCATCGTGACCGTAGACCATCCTTACGACACGAGTCCAGGACGAGATGGATGACAGTAGCGTGCGCCTTTCGTTGCGACACGGAGCGTCAGTCGCAGAAATATCGAAGCGCCTCGAGTCGTTCTTCGTCAACCTCGAGGATTCTCTTGCCCGGCGCCCTGTAGGATCCGCGACATCGGGAACGCTTCCCAACACCCGCGAGTCGCAGCCGTTACGAGCTGAAACCACGACGCAGGCTGAGGCTGCACCGACGACAAGCGACACACCTTCCGCTGCCTGCAAAAGAAGTACTTTTCGCAGAGGCGTCGCGTGCGTCGCCAGCGTCGCCTGCGATTCCGAGGGTGGAGAGGCCATGGGGAACCTGAGGATGCGGAAAGTAGGAGTAGTGGCGGACGCGGAACTGCACGCAGCAGCAAAACAAACGCCGCTTGCGGTGCTGCGCACTCTGCCCGCTACAGAGCCGGAACTGCGCACAGCCGATGCTTTGAGCGCAGCCACTCATTTGCAATCAGACGTCACGGAAGCGCGCACCGCGTTGGCGGCGGAGTTGCGCTGCCCGCGTTTGTCGGAGCTTTATGAGGTTGGGCGCGAGTTGGGACGTGGCCACTTCGGGGTCGTGCGACTGTGCGAAGACCGTGCGACCGGCGAGCGATTCGCGTGCAAGACGATACTGCTGAGCGGCGTGCGGGTGAGTCGCACAATCAGAGTCTCTTTTGCGTACTCCGCTTCCTCCTCCCCCCTTCCCTCTCCCCCATCCACGGACCTCCCCCACACGCGGCAAACCCCTTTTTCTTTCTCCGCGTCCTCCCCACCCTCGTTCCCCTCATTTCGCCTCCCCAAGCCTCCGTGCCGCCATCCCCCTCTCCCAGCGAATGCCTCACTCTCGCCTCCTTCCCTCTCTCCCTACATCCCTCCGGCGACTTCGTGAAGCCGCGGGCGGAAGTTTCGTCCCCCTGTTGCTCTCAAAGAAGCCCAACCCACCCCACCCCGCCCCCCCCCCCCCCCCCTCCCCCCGCCCCGCCCCCCCCTACCCTTTCCCCCTTTTTCCGCCCGTAACCTTTCTTCCCCAGCGTCCCAGCGATCTCATGGAGCTGAAGGGGCAAGCTTCTTTGAAGACGCCTCTCAAACCTCTTCCCTCCCTTCTTTCCCCTCCCCCCCCCTTTTTTGTCTCTCTCTCGTCCCCAGCGCCGCAGCGATCTCATGGAGCTGAGGGCGGAAGTGCTGTCGCTGCTGCGCCTGCAGGAGGGGGAGGGGGAACGGGGGGGGAACGAACGGGGAGCAGGGGAGCGGGGAAGGGGGGAATGCGGAGCAGGCGGCGCGGATGGGGAGCGGGAGGAGCTGGCGTTCGTACGGTTGTACGAGGTGGTGGTTGAAACGGGGACGGCGTTACATCTCATCCTGGAGTACTGCCCGGGTGGCGATCTGTTTGACCTCGTTATAAGGCAGAAGCGGCTTACCGAAGCACAAGCGGCCACTGTATTCAGGTATGTATCCCCGGCGCATACGCACCCTCATCTATCGCTACCACCCTTTGCCTCTGTAGCAACGATCTATTTGCCCTCGTTATAAAGCAGGAACGAGTCAACGAAGCACAACTTGCAGCTGTGTTCAGGTGCACGTTCATCCCACAAAACCCCTTTATGTCCTCTACCCCCCCCCCCTTTCTTCACTCAACCAACATCCCACCGCCTCAAACAAGAAAATACAGGCATACATAAGGTTGAGGGGTAACGCACGGCGTTCTGTTGTGATCCCCGTGCGCCCCCCCTTCATCCCTCCCCTTACCTCCTACCCACTTTCCCCATTCCTCCTTCTCCTCGTCCACTCCACCCCCCTCCCCCCTTGTTCCCCCCGTCCCATCTCCCCGCCCGCTCATGAGTGCATGATTTCGCCGTTGTTCATGCCCTGTGTTGATTTCCCCCCTGCCACAGGGCATGTCAGGAGTACCGATTCTCAACTACCTCACACCCCCACTCTCCACTGCCCTTGCGGAGGCCATTCTGACTGCTGGATTCTCAGTTGCTCCTTGCCCTTCTTGCCTCCTCCTTGCCTCCTATTCCCAATGCTGTTCCCCCCCAGGCAGTTGCTGCTGGCAGTGCACGCAATGCATTGCACGGGCATAGTGCACCGCGACCTCAAGCCAGAAAACATACTCGTTAGTAGCGGCCCCGGTGCTTGTAGAGGCCTTTGCACTGTAGCTGAGTGCAACTGCAATGGCAGTGGAAGCAGCGGGGACTGCAGTGGGGGAAGCAGCAACACGAGCCAGGGATGTTCCCATTGCAGGGAGGGTTTCAATACAGTCACATCCAGTGATACGACTTGCAGTGGTGGCACGCCTCCCTCGTTACAGTCACTTGAAGATTCCATAAGTTCAGTACCGTCTTCTGCTCAACATAGCAGCAGCAGCACAAGCACTGGGAGGAGGAGCAGCAGCAGCAGTAACGGCACAGGTAGCAGCATAAGGGGAACTCCTTTCCAGTCTTCGCCCTCACCTACTCTCCCAGCATCCTCTCCCTTCCTCCCGCTTCCCTCATCACCTCCCTCCCCTGCTCTCCCTCCATCATCTCCTTTCCACCTCTTACAAACCTCCCTGCCACCATCCCCCTCTCTCGCCTCCCCCTGTCTTTCCCTTCCACCCTCTTCTGCACCTCCTCCACCTCCTCTCCCTCCTCTTTGCTCGTCCCCTCCTCCCACTCCGGTCACCACGGCAACCAGCCCCCCTCCGTGTCCCTGCACGGGCATTCAAGTGAAGGTGGCGGATTTCGGGCTGGCAGCAACACTCTCGCGCGGGCAGACAGCGGCGTGTGGGGTGGTGGGCTCGCCCTTCTACATGGCTCCTGAGATCATCCGGGGGAGGCCGTATGCGGGGGAGGTCGACATGTGGAGCCTCGGCTGCGTTCTCTACACCTGCCTGTCGGGTACGTTGCAATTTATACACATGGTGTGGTAATCTGGTTGTCTGGTTCTTGCCGGTGAGATCACACAAGAACCCCCTTCTTAAGGAGCTGATGAGAAGGGCTTGTGAAGGTGCTGCCTGATGCACATCCTTACAAGATCCGCATCTTACCGCTGAGTGTGTTTGCCATCTTCAAATCCCACTAACATTTTGCAATAGTGCTTTCTGTTTTCCTATCCTTCAGGTACTGTGCCGTTCCACGGGAGGACACACCGTGAGGTTTTCGCTTCGGTGTTAGGCTCGACGCCTGACCTAAAAGGCGAGGTCTGGGAGGGAATTTCGAGGGAGGCTAAGCAGCTGTTAAGGTGTCTGCTTGTAACGGATCCTGGGCGAAGGTTCAAGGCTCATGAGGTGCTGAAACACCCCTGGGTTAGAGCAGCGTGTGGAGGCGAGTGTGGGAGCCAAGAGAGGGAGTGGGGGAAGGAAAAGACGAGGGAGAACGGAGAGGGAGTGGTGCGGGAGGGGGGTTGTAAGACTGACTGCAGGGGTGGAACGGGTGGAAGCAGGAGTGGGAAGGGTCTTACAGTAGAGAGGAAGGTGAGTGATGGAGCGGTGCATGTGGAAAAGGCATGGGTGGAAACGCATCCAAAGAAAGGCGCGAATGAGCAGCATGTGGTGGGGTGTGCGGAGTGTTGCGCTGGGTGCCATGCCAGCAGTCCCCATACTTGCTGTCAGAGCGGCAGGGCCGATGCTGCTGGCAGACTAGCTGTGCAGGAGAAGGTGGGTGAGAGTGCAAGCAGGAGTGAGAGTTCACCAGAGGTGGAGCAGGTGCACAGGCTGACCACGGGGTGTAGCAGTGGGAGAAGTGTCAGCGCTACGGCGCGTCACGTTTCCTTGCCTTTCAACCCAGAGCCACCGGAACAGAGCACACGCCATAGTGAGGCAGCCGTGAGAGGGGAGGTTGAAGGACAGGAAGCGTGCTGGGAAGCAACAGTGCAGGATTTCATGAGAGAGGTGCATGTGGTTAAGGCATGTGTGAAAAGCCATCGAGTGGAAGGCGAGGTTGGGCAGCATGAGGTGGGGCATGAGGTGGGTTGTCCTGATTGCCACCCAAGCAGTCCCAACAGTCTCTGCAAAAGCAGCCATGCTGATGCGTGCTGTCAGAGCAGCAGTGCCGGTGCTGCTGGCAGGCTAGCTACTCAGGAGATGGTGCGTGGGAGTGAATGCAGGCGCGAGGAAACAGAAGAAGAGGGGAAAATGGCTGGGCTGACCAGGGGGAGTGGGAGTGGGAGCGGGAGGAGAAGCATTGGCACTGAGGCGAGTCACACTCACACCTCCTCGCCTTGCAATCCAAACCTACAGGAAGAGAGCAGACGTGGGACTCACCGTAGAGGTGGAGAGGAGGTGGAGGGTAAGGAGGCGTGTTTGAAAGCATCAGTGCATGAATGTGCTGCGCAGCGGTGCAGTGAGGCTGCAGAGGTAGACATCTGCTCTCCAGGTGGTGCTTGGGGTGCTGGCTGCTGTGGGAGTATCGGTCCCACTGACTGTAGCACCGTTGATTGTAACACTGCTGACTGTAACACAGCCAACTGTATTACCGCTGAATGTAGTCCCACTGACTGTAGCACCACTGACTGTAGCACCACTGACTGTAGCACCACTGACTGTAGCACCACTGACTGTAGCACCACTGACTGTAGCACCACTGACTGTAGCACCACTGACTGTAGCACCACTGACTGTAGCAGTGGTTGCAGTGGGGTTGGTGAGACTACATTGACTGGCAACAGTGGTGCTGGCAGCGGCAGCAATGATGCTGGTGGTGGTGGCTATTACAACTGCAGTTGTTATGGCAGTGGTAACAGCTGCAGCAGTGACAGCAATTCAAAGAGTAGATGCACTGGCAGCAGCGACAGCAGCAGTCACTGCCTATGTACCAAGAGCGCAAGCAGTGATATGGGTGATGGAAGAAGCCCCATTTGCAGCAAGGCTGGAGGAGACAGTGGCTGCAGTCACAGTCACCTTGCTTGGAGGATGAGTGGAAAGATGTTTACGTGCTATGGCAGCGGAGGTAATAGTGGTGGTGGCATTGGCAGTGGTGGTGGCATCAGTGGTAATGGTGGTTTCAGCATGATGCACCAGATACAGCTGTCAAGTGGTGCGGGTGTACTCTCTAGTTTCTTTGCTCTCTTCTGTGCTTGTGGTTGCAGCCGGTGGCCATGGGTTGCCATGTGGTTACAGATAGCAAGTGGTGTGAGTGTAACATTTGTACATTCCCCTGTTTTCCCAGCTGGTATTGGCTGAAAATGAGAGCGCGCGCGCTGACGAACGAGAGCGTGCTGACAGTATTCCGAATTCCAATCACACCAAACGTCTCCAATTCAGAACCAGACCGTCCAGTGTAGTCGCTGCCTAGGTTAGGTAATATCACACCAACGTATCACTTATCTTCCCCGCGTCCGCGCCGCTCTCTAACTTCGCATCCCTTAACTTAGTAGCTATAGTTTTAACTCTGGCTATAGTTTTAACTCCGAGATGCCACGTTCTTCAAACTCGTCGTTGGACGAATCCTCGGCCGTTATTACCGACCGTCTGTCTGACGATCTGCTGACGTCACTTGACGCGGCAACTCCGCCAGTCGACCGTTTATCAGACGACCTCTTGTGCTCCGTCCTCTGTCTAGCTTCCGTCGACGACTCTCCCCCGTAACGACTCTCGCTTGTCTGCAAGCGATGGCTTCGCCTAGCTTGTCCCGTTCAGACCTCCATTCCCTCCACCTTCTTTGCTTCTCTCTGCGCTCAAAAGCCAGCTTTTCCGCGCAAAAGCGTCAGCCGCAATGTCAGCGGAAGCAGCAACAGCAGCAGCAGCAGCAGCAGCACGATAAGCAGCACCGCCAGCAGCAGCAGCACCTCTTAGAAACTAGGCAGGAATGTGTTTGACTATGGAGAGATTTTGGTACAAGAAGGAAACCTAAGGGGTTGTACCCCTCAGTATTTACCCCACTACAGCCTACCCAAAACTATAACATATGTATATGTTTGACACACCCCCATAGGCAAAGTGGGGGAGAGCAAGAGGTCACAAGACCAGTCAAGGAAAGCAAAACAAGCTCAAGGTGGATCACAACGTCACCACACATACTGAGCACAAGCAAACGGCCACAAGGCCAGTTCACATGCAGAGGTATATATGCAACAAGAACAGTACAGTGATCTCTACCTAGCAAGAGCAAGCATGCGGGTATATATATATATAGATCACAGTACAAGCAGAGACTACAGCAAGTGTGGAAACGTAGGCACAAGGCCCAACAAAGTACAAAAGCGCTGATGGTCACCAGACGGAAGTGCCTTGGTGAATATATCAGCAGTGTTGGCCCGAGTGGCCACGTGAGCAAGGCGAATCTGACCCCGCTCCTGCAACTCTCGAGCCAGGAAGTAACGCAGAGCGATGTGCTTCGTTCTGTGCTCCAGTCTGTGCTCCTGACACAAGGCAATGGCGGCCTTGTTGTCTACGTACAGAACTGGAGGAGAACGAGGCCGCTCTCCCAGGTCGGTCAGCAGGTAGGTGAGCCAGCGTAACTCCTGTGCAGCCATGGCTGTGGCGTAGATCTCAGCCTCACAACTGGAGCTGAGAACAGAAGACGAGCGTGTAGACCGCCAAGAAACAGAGCCGGAGCCAAAGCTGAACGAGTAACCCTGTGACGACCGCTGTGTAGCCTGGTCGTCAACCCAAGAAGCGTCTGAGTGCCCAGTGAGGACAACTGGACTCCGCCCTCCAAGCACGAGCCCCATGCCCGATGTACTGCACAAGTAGCGCAGTACCCTCTTAACAGCATCCATGTGCACTTTTCGGTGCCGACCAAGAGCCACGTAGCGAGCCAGAAGGCCAAGAGGGTACGCAAGGTCAGGACGAGTGCAGGTCATCAGGTACATGAGGCAGCCCACTAGCTCTGGGTAAGGACCACTCGGCTCTACGGACTCGTCCGAAGGTGGAGCTGAGAGCGAGTGACCTGTAGCCAGAGGAGTGGCCTGTGCCGAGGACTAGGTGAAGCCGAAGCGCTGAAGGACCTGCTGCACCATGTGTGACTGAGTCAGGGTGATGGTGCGGCGTGCTCTGTCCCGGGTGATTGTGAGAGTACGACGGCTTATGCTGGCTTTGCTAGCTTGCCTAGACTTTATTATGCTATATCTAGCTTGGGTTTTATTTATCATGCATAGATATGCTTGATTTCCTAGGTTAGGTGCATTCCTATATTTTATTATAGTTATAGCACCGAACCAGGTTACGTGTACCGAACTCAAGCCTATTCGGTTTCCACCGAATTGCTTTCTACTGAGTTCGGGAAGGTTCTGTTCGGGACGCTTCGCGACTCTCAGAACATTCGCGTAACACCTGGGTAACTGGCATTGTGTCGAGACTATATATAGCCTCGTGTTGTACCCAGGTGGATCATTGAATTCAAACTCTCTTTTCTGCGCTCGATCCTAGATCCTCACACTTGGTAATCAGAGCCCGTTTACACGCGAAAGTTTTTTCGACCGCTAAAACCGAGTCTTCAAAAACCGCGGGGGCGACGCAGTTAAACATCGATTTCGGGTACGTAAAACCGGTTCCGTGTTTTTCGCTCCCCCTCGTTTCGGTTTTTTGGACGCGCAATGTCAGGCATGGAGGGCCAAGGCGACAACTATGCGACTACGAGCGACATCGCGAGCCTCCGCACCGACATGGAGCAGACGCAGGCGGCGCTACGACGACTCGAGGCCCTTCTGACACACCAACCAGGAATCGCCACCGCAGCAGCAGCGAACGTAGCAGCGACAACACCCGCAGCAGTGGCGACACCGACATTTCACGGACCGATGGCACCACTGTCGCCGAACCTCGAAGCAGCACGACCGAGGCTCCCTGAAGCGTTCGATCCCAGCGCGAAGGGATCCGACGTCCGGCGATTCGTGGCAACCCTCGAAATTTACTTCGAGGCCATTGGCTGTTCGACCCCGCAACATGACGCAGCAAGAATTCGGCTCGCAGCGACACTGTTACGTGGACCGGCACTCGAATGGATTTATTACACTGACGTGGCCCGCGGGGAGAAAATGTGGCAGCAGTTTCGGGAGGATCTAATCGAACGCTTCGAACCAATCAATTCAGTCTACATGGCGCGGCAGCAGATTCACCGACACAAACAGTACGGCAGCGTAGCACAGTACACGCAGCAGATGGAATTACTGTTCAACCGAATCACTGACCTGACCGAAGGCGAAAAAATCCATGCGTACACCGAAGGATTAAAAATGGAGATTCGACGGCAGGTGATTTCGGCAAACTACAGTAGCTACCGCGACATCGTACGAGCAGCTGAAAGGTATGACGCGTTGACGCGAGGTCAACCCGACACACGACGCTACGGGCCAAACCGTACATTTGGCCCGGAGCGATCGGCACCCCCCACGTTCGCCGAACCGATGGACATCGACAAATACGACGCGAAGCAGCAGCCGACAAAATGCGAGTTTTGCGGCGCAGCAGGGCATCAGATTTTGTCGTGCTACAAGATGAAAAAGGCACGTGCGGCACTGCAGGGCTGTAACAGTGGAGCACCCTCGAAGTCAAAAAACGGGAATCGCCAGTAGCCGCGGATCGACCTGGCGATCGCGTAAAGATCCGAAAAGCAGGAAAAGGCGACGACGTGGCGACTTCGGAGCGGGTGAAAAAAAGAGAAAATTATGGCGCGAATCTAAAACGTCACGACCGGCCGGCATCAGGGGAAATCGCCGAGGCGAATGGAGGCTCCGCCATGAGATTGTATCCGCGAGATTGCCATGGACTGACTCCCAAGAGATTGCCACTGCTGTTCATTTTGGCCCATGGCAGGCTTGTTCAGAAATGAACCAGTAGCTGCTCGTCTCAGCTGGAAAAACTGGCGCGAAAAAACAGTTTGAAAATGGCTCGGGAAGCAAAGAGCTGCCAAATGGCATGGGGGAAGAGATAAGGCTCGAACCATTGGCGGGAAGTTGCAAGGTTGTTCTGCTGTCTGCATCTAATTCGCCGGCGTGACCATGGAAAACGCGGGAACCCACCTGCTTTGAATCGTCTGGTCATAAGTTGACCAGTGAGCGTCGAGCTGCAAAACGCAAAAACCACCCCACCCCACCCCACCCAGCCCAAACAGAAGAGATCGCCACAGAAAGTTGTCAGGCACAAACCAGTAGGCTTCCCTGAGATTCCTCAGCTGCAATCTTGCCAGATCCACGTTCCTCCAATGGGTTCAGTCTTCAAATTTCTGCCCAATTAACCAGATGAGTACATGACGCTACATCTGAATAAAACTAGCATTTGATGTGTACTTACAGTAACAATTACTCGAAATGATTATAATAACCGTCTTTTAAGTCTAATGATGCTTGGTTACATGATATCTCATTGTCATGTGAATAGTCGCCACTTAGAATGGGAATATGAAAGGATGTTCACGCATAACTCTTATCAATCGTTACATCTATGACTCCGCTGTACATTGCCTCGTCGCGTGATCCGCGGAACACATTCTCATCCTCCCTATGAGCACGGACACTCAACCCACACCATTATTGATGTGACATTATTGTTGGATTCAACAACTATGTTGAGGAGGCAAAGCCCCTTCGCGCTTCGCCAGGCGATGAAAGTGGCGGCGCGGATTGCGCATTCTTCAATGACTTTCGATTGCGACCTGCGTCATTCCAGCTACAAAAGTTCCGCCAATTTCTCGCAGATGTCACAACCTTCCACGTTCTTCTTTTTCTTCGATCAGCACCAGCACACCACACCCCTGACCCTCTTCAACAATAGTTGAAGCTTTGAGAGACATCACTTTTACTCTATTTCTTGTTCCCTCCGCATTACCGCGTGGCTTGCTCTGAACTTTTTCGTTCTCCGAGTCTCACTTCTGCTTCACTACTTGCCTGTCAACACTCCGCGAGACGTGTCCCGCCATCTTCTCAGTCTCGACTGTCTGCTCCAAGCGATATCAGCGTCGACCTTCGCACGTTTCATATCCAACCACCATGGCGACGAATCGCTTCCTTGTGTTTGTCTTCGCCCTCGCCCTATACCTCGCGTGTAAGCTGGCATTTTTTACCACGCAACTCACATGCAAGATGAGTCATGCAGTTCAATTCCCACATCCCCGTGGTCGTGCTTCGGCTGACCCCCCCGAATCCCTCTAACCGCCGCGTTCCTGACTGCTTCGTGTGTTCAGTGAGTGCATCGCCCGCGTCAGCAGCGCCGAAGCCGCCGTTGCAAGACGACGCGACGTGCTTTTGGAGCAAGCAGTACATGCCAGCACAGCCCAGCTGCAAGCAGCCCTTCCAGTGCGTCGTCTCATCAGCCCCATCAACCCCATAAAGCCCTATCAACCACGTCTTGTTGCGTACTAGTAGCTAGTCGTACCTTCCACATTCAACTCCTCTCTGACCCAGCAGAGCGTTCTCCTCGTCCCGAGCAGCATATGGACTAGTACACTGTCTTGTCTCGTCGCTTCTTTCCCTGAGGGTTCATTTTCCCTCCTCGCTCTCTGTCTAAATCGTGCCGTGCTACGCCGGCCTCCTGCGCAGGTGCGTGGTGAAGCAGGTGCTCCCCGCGTCGCACGATAAGCTCTTCCAAGGCGTCTGCGTCGACTCCTATAACTGTAAGACCCCCTGCCCCCCGATGGGTTACCCACACTCGCAAGTTCTGCTCTAGCCTGCCCCATCAGCACACCCACTCGCAACAGATTCTAATGGAAAACACCTCCATATCCAAGGCGCTGAATGACCGTTTAACTTACCCGTTCCCGTTTCCCCGCGCGCCCGCTTTCTCCGGCACCAGCGAACGACTACTGCATCTATCAGTCCGTGTCGTACGCCGTGGGCACCACCAGCATCACCGCAAACTACGCCTGTCCCAACTGCACCTGCTCGCGCCTCCCCGGCGCTGCCGGCGCGTCGTGCGAATGCGAGCCGGGGCCGCGGTGCCGCGTGGACGTTGCGGGGAAGCCGGTGGGCTCCGCGTGCTCCGGGCGCCAGAGCCTGTGAGTAGTGAAGGGGGGGGAGAGGGGGGGGGGCGGCCGGGGGAGGACAGGTTGGCGGAGCGAGAAAGTGGAGGCGGGATACAGGGCTAGTCCGAGCGGAAATACAGCAGGAGCCAATTGGTGATGGGATCCGATGAGCGTACGCAAACGCACTTGGTCAGTAACGAATCCCTTACCTTGTGTGTGTTTCTGTGTGTTTCGGTGTGTGTGTGCGTGCGTGATATGTGAATGCAGGTGTGTGGTCAACCGGGTCAAGAAGGCCAACAACCTTGGCGCGTGCACGCACCCCGCAAGTACGCCCACCGTCCCTCAACCAGCCACCGCACTTGACCATTTGCCCTTCACCTTACCGTGCCAGTATTCAGCACTGCCAATCCCAATGCCTTTATCATCCGCATCCCCATTCCAACCTAACCCCCCACCTCGTTCTTTCCCCTCCCCCTTCCCCTTCCCCGTGCGCCAGTGTCCGCGGGGCAGTGCGTGTCGGCGGGGCCCGGGTGGGGCCCCATCTTCTACAGCAGCGGAGTGGCATCAGGCGTGATCAAGGCGGAGGACATGTGCCAGCGCTGTGCGTGCAACAAGGGCCAGTTCTCCAACTGCCGCCGCATCAAGGGGTGCAAGAGTGAGCTCCCTCCCCTTCCTCCCCCCCCCCTCCACCACGCCAAACTTGCGACATGGTCCTTCCTTACGTCACCTCGTGTCAACGCCTCGCTTCCATTCCCTCCTGTGTGCTCCTGTAGTCGCTTCCAATCCCATCGTCTCACTCGCCCCTCCCGGTTCCTCATCTCATTGCTTGCCCTTGTCTTTGTTCTCCCACCCTCGGCGGCCCACAACACTATGGTGCGGCATGGCATGCCAGTGTGCGTGCCGGAGAAGGGAGCAGGCGCGGTGGCAGCACAGTGCGATGCGTGCTGCAAGGGGGCAGAGGGCGACGCTAATGTCAAGGCGTGCCTTGCAGCGTGCGGGAGGGTCACGCTTTGACACAGCAAGCATATATAGACACAGCAGCAATAGATACTAGTGGGCTCGTAGCCACCCATCCAAAGTTGGTTAGCACATTCATACCAGTACCGTACATGGGACGAGGGTTCAGCATGGTACATGGAGGCGGGCACAGCAGAAGCACATCTATCTCAGATGCATAAGTGCCCTGCCCAGCTAGCGTCGCATGGAATAAAGCTGCTGCATCAGGCTGCCTGCCTTGCCACCTTTGGCTAATTGTTGCCTCTTTCAATAATGAAGGAAAGGCAGCTTCCGTTTTCTGTTTTCTGTTGTCACAGGCAAACCTGATGAATGATGTTTTTTCGCAGTGCAGTGCGGTGCAGTGCACTAGTGCAAATGCCAAGTGCCAGGGCAGGCAGGCAGTCCTCATGCACATCCAGCCGTCAGGGAGATCCATCCAGGCTTTTGTGCCAGGGATGGGATGGGTTGGGTTGGGTTGGGTGGGTAGGTAGGTACCAGTAGGTACCGTACCATCCACAAGCCTCTTCCATTTCTTGCAAAGGACTTTCCATCTTGGTACAGCTATGCAGGCTCTACTTCAGTTCTGTTCTTCGGAACCTTGAACATCCTTTAATAAATACAGCAAACTGTTACAGCAAAGTTGCAACCCTACAGACAGAACACCCTGCTCGCATCTGCTACCTGCACAAATACTACCGGTAGGTACCGGTACAAAACAGGAGCACAAGAGCAAAAGCAAAACCTATCACCCCTAACTGATTCCGGCCTTTCCTTGACAGTACAAGCACACCTACGAAAATGCTTCTGTCACTACTTGATTGCACTCGAGTGGACAATACAATGATTTGGAGCAGGGTGGTCAAGAGCTGGTGTGGGTGCTCTTGTAAGCACACTAGGACGCTCCTGGCTGTGCCCCTGCAGGGTCGAGAGGGAGAGAGGGCGAGATTCATGGGAGCACGCAGGGGGTTAGAGGTAAGTGAAGAACATGGGTGTGAGAGAGTGTAAATGTGAGCGTGAGTGCCATGGAATGGAGGTGGTGAGGCAGGGCTGGGAGTGCTTGGAAAGAGAGTGAGGGAACGGCGGAAGGAGAGGGACAGAAGGGAGGGCGTGGATGTGGGCACGGTCACGGGCACGGGCATGGGCATGGGCATGGGCATGGGCATGGGCATGGGCATGGGCATGGGCATGGGCATGGGCATGGGCATGGGCATGGGCATGGGCATTGGTGTGGGTGTGGGTGTGGGCATGGGCATGGTGGAAGGGCGTCCCACCTGAGGCAGCAACGGAGCGCCAGATGGAAGCTGCACTGCGCTCCATCACCTCCCTTGCCTCGTCCGCAGTCTGTGCCCATGCCATCACGCCATGATGTGATCATGTGATGATGCCATGATGTCATGATGTCATGCCATGTTGGGAGGGACAAGGGGCATGGGGCATGGAGAATGGGGGACATGGAGCATGAGGCACGCCGGAGGAAACAGCCAGGGGAGGAACGGCACCACGATTACAGAGGACAGAACCAAGGGTTCACATCCCCACGCCCCCGTTTCACATGCTCATGCCGACCTCCCCCGTCCCCACGCCCCCTGCCCACCCGCTCATGTCAACGGCCCTCATCCCCATGCCCCCTCATCCCCAGCGCACGCACCTCGCACTGCTCCATGAGCTGGGAGCGCTTGGGCATGGCCCACCCCCACAGCCTCGTCGCCACGTTCACTGCCCGGGACATCTGCCGTGCGTCCAACACCCCTGCTCGCACAGCAGCAACACGTGCACGGCGTGAATGGTGGGGTGTGCGGGGAGGGATGGGGGTGAGAGAGGAGGAGAGCCGGAAGATGCGGTTAGTATGTGGAAAGCACCAACAAGGGCATTCACGCTGAGTGCTTGAGATTTGAGACTCCTCACTCCCCTCCATGCAACACCACGCACAGTCATTCAAGCTTCTCGGGGCCTCGGGAAGCACGAGAACAGTCGCCACATCACGCACACTGAGCTCAGCCTCACTGCTCTCTACAACAAAGCCGACAGGCGCAGCACAACACCTCCAACCTTGCTCCCTCCCTCGATCCCAACCCCCCCCGCCCCTCCCGCCCTCCTCCCTCCCTCCGCCCCACGCACATCCATCGGTGAGCACGAGCAGGTGGGCGACAAACGACGTGGTGTTGGCAAGCGGCCACATCCTGCTATCCACAGGGGAGGACGTCGCCGCCAATCGCGCAGCCATGGCGAGCGTGAGATCCGCCTTCTCCTCCTCCAGGGGGTAGATCACTTCTAGCAGCGCCGCTGCCGGGTCCTTGTCTGGTAGGCCCACCAGGATGCCCCGCAGCCCCCAGTCGAATACTTCCAGCTGCTGCGCGTCCTGGCACGTGCCGTCCTCCTCTATGCTCTGTTGTGTGGGGGGGAAGGGGGAGGGTGGGGGAAGGGAGGATGGGAGGACCGGGGGACAAGAGAACGGGAGGAGGGGAGGGGAGGAGGGGAGAAGGAGAAGGAGAAGGGTGCTTGTGAGACGCTTGCTGCGGATTTACACCCAGTCCACTAGGATGCCTTGCAGCCCCCAGTCGAATAGCTCCAGCTGCTGCGCGTCCTGGCACGTGCCGTCCTCCTCTATGCTCTGCAAGGGGACGGACGGACAGGGGGAGAGTGGGGAAGGGAGGATGGGAGGATGGGAGGATGGCAGGACGGGAGGACGGGACGAGGGGAGGAGGGGAGGAAGGGAGAAGGGGGGGTGGAGGGAGGGAGACGGAGACACAAAGGGGGATGGTGCTTGTGAGAGGCGTGCTGCGGAATGATATTCAGGCTGCATGCTTGCACGGTCCATCCCACCCAACCCCAACCCACCCCACCCAACCCCACCGCACCCCACCCATCCAAGGCGCCGCACCTCATAAACATGCATGATGGATTTGACTTGCATGGACTCGAGCAGAACAGGCAGGTAATGCTCCGATTCCACCGTCTTGCCCATCCGCAGCCACACCGCCCACCCCACCGTCACCTCAGGCTGCGCCATCTGCTCCACTATCTCCACCGCCCTGTCCTGCGCCGCTTCCAGCGACTTCTCCCCTCCCGCCAGCCCTCCTGCTACCCCCCCTGCGGCTGTCAGCCCCAGCCAGCGGTTCAGAGTCACTAGGGCACAGAGCTCTCTCTCGCGCCAGTCCCCGGCGCCTGCTGCTGCCATGCCTCCGATGCCCGCGCCCCCGCCCAGGCCCCCGCCGCGCGTGTTCATTCGGAGGAAGTTGAGCGTCACCTCGTACGCCCACGGGTGGTGCTGCTTCAGCTCTCCGTTCCTCAGCATCGCATCTGCGAATTCCGCGATGTATGACGATGCGCGCGCGCCCGCCGCCGCGCCCGTGGCCTCCACATTCGCGATGTGCGCGTTCTTGACCGCCGTTGCCAGCCGTGCGAAGCGCGCGTTGATGGACTCCGCCCCGCTGCCCAGGAACACCATGCGGATCACATGGTCAAACCCATCCGTGGTGAGTCTCCCGGACGCCACAGCCCGCAGGCACACGTGGAAAGCCGCCTCCTCTAGCCCAATATGCTCGTAGTGCAGAGCAAGGGAGATCAAATCCCCCGGCTGCAGGAAATGCAGCTCTCGCATCTCAGCCGCTAGGTTCATGGCCAGCAGGCCAGGATCCAGCCCCAGGGAGTCATACAGCCGGTCGATCTCCTCGCACCGCTCCACTAAATCGCTGTGCTTCGCGCGGGCTATTCCCTCTGCTAACGCCACCTCCGCCAGGCTGGACAGCCGGATGGGGCACCAGGGTTTCCGCCCTGCTGACCGTACTGATAGCAGCGCTCCGTCTGCGCCTGACAGCGCTCCGCCTCCCGCTCCTCCTCCCCCGGCTGCTGCTGCCGCTGCTGCTGCGGACATGGCTCTCCGGCTGGCCGCCGCTGCGCCTCCGGATTTCTCGTACTGGGACGAGAGAATGGCCTTCAGGCATGCCATTACGAACGCTCGGCACGCAGGGAGGTTGGCCGGTGCACGCACCAATGCCCCCATGCCCCCCATCCCTGCCATCCCCATGGGCCCCACAGCGATCTGCGGCCCTCCTGACAGGTCCGAGACAGGTGGCGAGCTCACATTGGACGGCGGGGCGGGCGGCGGAGTGGGTTCAGGAGGCGGGGGGGCGGGGTGGGAGGCAGCAGAGGAGGACCCGATGCCAAAGAACGGAGTGGTCGGGCGGGTGAAATTCGCAGTGAAAGCAAGCAACCCGCCGCCTGATTCTTCTGTGGCGGTGGTGGTGCCGCTGCCGCTGCCGCTCCTCCTCTTCCTCCCGCTGCTGCTGCCGATGCCTGCTGCTGCGCCGGCGCCGCCGATGCTGGCGCGGCACCAAAAGCAGAACCCAGCCCACTAAAGGACGTGGGAATAGGCCCTGTCTGCTCCGCCAATCCCCCACCGCCCATCGTGAAACTCTCCGAGCGCCGCCGCGACCCAGCAGGCGACGACGGCATACTCCCCTCATTGCCAATCCCTGCCAGGTGATGCCGCGCCGACGGCCCCAGCGCCCCTCCTCCTCGCACCGACCCGTGAACCCCTGAAGCCGCAGCAGTGGCGGCTGCGACAGCAGCAGCGTCGCGGTGCGGCGAGATGGTGATCCCGAGGGAGAGGAGTTCGAACTGGGCCATGCGGTCGAGTAGGCGCAGCAGGCACATGCACGCAGTGGACGGCTGCCAGCTGCTGATCGCTGCCGCCAGCCCCGCCACCCGGAGAATATCGTCGTGCTGGCACGTGGTCGGCAGCGCTTGTCCTGTTCCCAGCGCCTCGGCAACGAGGCGAGACTGCAGGCTACCTTCCGGGCCCCAGCGCTTTGGCCCGTACGTATGCACGTCCCCTCCTGCGCCGGACAGCCCCGCAGCCACGTTACTAGGCCTCCTCCCACTGCCATACGCCCCTCCTCCTGTGCTCCCCGCATACCCTCCCCCTCCGCCCCCCAAATCACTGTGCGCGTACCTCCCCCTGCCGTCCCCCCCCTCATCTCTATCCCCACGCCAGGGCGAGCTATTGGAGCTGTTGGGAAGGTCCCTCCAGGGGGAGCTAGTCGCAGAGTCATTGAATCGCACAGGAGACGTGCCCCCGAGACTCCCACCACCAGCACCACCACCGGCGCCACCACCACCACCACCACTGCCCCCACCTGGTGCTGCTGGGTCGTCTTCATTGTCGTCCTCCTCCTCGCCCTGCCACTTGGGTCGGTTCTCCCCCCACTGCTCCCAGTACTTGAGCCATACGGATAGCCCCGCCACAAACGCCTCACCCACATGCACCTCGTTCAACCGCTCGCTACTCTCCGCCACCCCTCGGAACTTCCGCTTCACCCATTCAAACTCCCTCAACGCCCCCGCCACCGACCAGTTCCGGTTAGTCCGCCCCACCGGCCGCAGCACCCTCACTCCCGGCCCCCCCTCCGGCCACGCACCCCCCCCTCCTCCACCGGCCACTGCCGTCGTCGCACCTCTGCTGCTCCCAAACGCAGTGCTGCTGGCAGCGCTGGGGAAGGCGAGATTATCGTCATCGTCTAAATGATCCCCCGTGCTGGTGAGACTCATGATATCATCGTCATCTTGCACTGCCAGGCGTGGCAGCATGGTTTCGAGATACTGCATGAACAGCCACGACCAGTGGTCGCGGCACTGCTGCGCGCGCACCCTCGCCGCCCCGATCGGCCCAAACTCGTAGTACACCTGCCGGGCGGCGGGCGTCACGCCGCCGCCCTGCATCTGCGCGATTTCCGGGCGGCGAAGGGTGGACAGCGAGCGGACATACATCAACTCCGGTGGCCGCTCCTCCTCTTCCTCCTCCCCGCCTCTCTCACCCAACCCATCGTCCTCCTCATCATACTCATCAATAAAATCCATATCATCATACTCCTCATCCTCATACTCGTCCTCATCATCCCCATGATCCCTGTACCTCCCTCTGCGCCCCGTGATCCTCCTCCGCGGCACCATCGGTCCCACCTCGTCCCCCTCCTTCTCCAAAAAGTCCTCCTCTTCCTCCTCCTCACCCAACTCCTCATCATCAAAATCAGCTTCGTCCTCTGTCCAGTCGCCCTCCTCCTCCTCCATCTCGTGCAACCCCTCCCCATCCTCATACTCCTCCTCAAACTCCCCTTCCTCCTCATCCCCATGCTCCCCCACCTCCCCTCCTCGCGCCCCCACAGGTCTCCGCACCCCTCCCGGGGGTCTAGGCGGCCTGCCCCTGCCCACTCCCCTGCCTCTCCCGCCCGCTCCTCCCACGGCCCCACCCACCCGCCTTCTACCCACCACCCCACCTGCCGCTGCTGCTCCCGCTGCTGCTGTGCCCCTCCCCGCGCCTGCACCCACACCCCCTTCTAGCTCCTCCCCCTCCCCCACCTCCTCCTCATCATACTCCTCATCGTCAGACTCCCCCTCCTCGTATTCCCCCTCCTCCTCATACTCGCCCTCTTCATCATACTCATACTCTCCCTCCTCATCATATTCCTCCTCATACTCCTCATCATACTCGCCCTCATACTCCTCCTCATATTCCTCCTCATACTCCCCTTCTTCATCCGTATACTCCTCGTCACTGTAAACCTCCTCGTCCCCCTCCTCATACTCACCCTCCTCATCCTCATACTCATCATCAAACTCTCCTTCCTCCTCCAACCCATCCACCTCCCCATCGCTAACGCCCGGCCCGGTGCTCTTTCTCGCAGGCCCGCGAATGCCTTCCTGCCGCATCAGCAGCACCTCTGGTTCCATCTCCATCCCTGCCGCCTCTCCTCCCGCCTCTCCTGCTGCCTCTCCTGCTGTCTCCCCTGCCCCTTCCCCTGCCACTTCCCCTGCCGCCTCCCCTGCTCCCTCCACACCTCCCTCCTCCCCTGCACCCCCCACTCCTTCCTCCTTTCCATCCCCCTGCCCCCCCTCCTCCCCTTGCGTCCGCCTTTCTTCCCGCGTGCCCTTCTCCCCGTCCTCTCTCCATTCCCCGCCTTCCACCTCCTCTTCCTCATTCCCTACCTCCACCACTCCTCCCTCGTCCTCCTCATCCTCTCCTGCGTGCACCCCCTCACCCTTCACCCCAAACCTGCCCCGTCCCTTCTTCCGCTTCTCTCCCCCACCCTCCACACCTCCCTTCTCCTCCACCACCATTCCCTCTCCCTCCTCCCATTCCCCCTCCACTCCCTCCTCTCCGTGCCTCCCTCTAAAACCACCCTTAGCCCCACCAACTCCTCCCTCTTCCTCTTCCTCTTCCTCCTCCTCCTCCTCCTCCTCCTCCCATTCCGCTCCTTCCCAATCACCCCTCCTTGCATTCACCCCCCTGTCTCTCCCCATCCACACCACCTCTCCACCATCCTCCACCACCTCACCCTCCCCTCCACCACTCTCAACCTCTACCTCCCGACCGCTCACTTCCCCATACAAATCTTCCTCTCCCTCCCCCACCACCACACCTGCTGCAACACCATCATATCTTTCCTCCTCATCCTCATCCTCCTCCTCCCCTTCTGCCGCCTTCCCTCTCCTTCCCCTGCCCTCCACCCTCCTCTCTGATTCCCACTCACCATACAGGTCCCCTTCCTCATCCTCCTCCCTCTCATGCACCACTCCGCGTCCCTCCCCATCGCTCTCACCACCACTCCCAGCATCATCATCCCCCCGTCGCCCTCTCCCGCGCCCCTTGCCACCTTGCCATTTTGAGCCCTCTTCTCTCCGGCACTCTTCATCCAGAAACTGAAGCAGCAGCTGCTCCTGCTCGCTCTTGCCCCCCTTGTCCTTCTCCCGCAACCCCCCTCCCCTCGCCTCCTGCTCTTGCCCCTTGCCGCCGCCTCTCCTGCCGCCCTCCTGCCTCTCCATCTCTCGCCTCTCCTCTTCCTCGTGCTCTCGTTCCCATCTCTCCCCTTCCTCTCTCTCCAATCTCATCGTCTCCTCCTCTCTTTCCGTTTTCCTACTCACTTCCTCCTCTCTCTCCCTTTCCTTCCTCTCCTTTTCTGCTTTCTCCTTCTGTCTTATCTCTTCTTCCTCTCTCTCCCTTTCCTTTCTCTCCTCCTCCTCCCTCTCTTTCTCCCTTCTCTCCTCCTCCTCCCTCTCCTTTTCCCGTCTCTCCTCCTCCTCCCTATCCTTTTCCCGTCTCTCCTCCTCCTCCCTCTCCTTTTCCCTTCTCTCCTCCTCCTCCCTCTCCTTTTCCCTTCTCTCCTCCTCCTCCCGCTCCCTTTCCCTTCTCTCCTCCTCCTCCCTCTCTTTTTCCCTTCTCCTTTCCTCCTCTCGCTCCTCCATTAGTCGTTGCTCTTCCTGAACCCTTCTCTCTTCATCAGCCCTCTCTCGCTCCCTTCGTTCCTCCTCTTCCTTCTCCAACGCAACCCTTTCGCTCTCGCGTCTTTCCTCTTCAAGCCTTGCTGCCATTCTACTCTCCTCCTCCTTCCTTTCCTCCTCCACCCGAAGTAGCTCCCTTCTCTCCTCCTCCCTTCGCTCCTCCTCCCTCCTCTCCTCCTCCTTCCTCTCCTCCTCCCTTCTCTCCTCCTCCCTCCTCTCCTCCTCCCTCCTCTCCTCCTCCCTCCTCTCCTCCTCCCTCCTCTCCTCCATTCTCTCCTCCTCCCCTCTCCCTTCCAACCTCTCGCTTTCCATCCTGTCATGCTCGTCCATTGCTTCCCCACCAATTCTCTCCCCTCCCTCTCCCTCCTCCTCCTCCCTCATCTCCACATCCCCCACACTTACCTCACCGCCTCCTCCTCTCACTCCCTCCATAGCCCTCGCCTCCCCTCCATCCGCCCCATCTTCCACAACCAGCCGTCCCCCCTCGCCTAAAACCATATCACCACCACTCTCGACCTTCCCTTCCGCAGCAGAAGCAGCACTTGCATCAACATCCATCGCTGCGCCCATACCAGTCTCACCACCCGCGCCTGCATCCCCCTCCCTGCTCCCACTCCCATCATCAGTTTCAGCTTCAGCAGCAACAGGAGGAGCAGTAGCAGCAGCAGCGGCAGCAGCGGCAGCAGCAGTGGCGGCGGCAGTGGCGGCCTCTGCAGCAGCGGCGAGCATAGCCCCGTCTGACACGGCCCTGCCTTGCTCCACTAGCCGCACCCTCGTCCCTGTCTCCACAGACCCCATCCGCCTCATGCTTCTTCCCTCGCCCCCGCCCTCGGCCCCGCCTTCGCCCCCGCCCTCCCCCTCCGCGCCTCCCCCATGCGCGCCCTTCTCCCTGCGCCCCATGAGCTTCGCCATGAGCCCCACATGCCCGCCCTCCTCCTCGCCCTCCGCGCCCCGCCCCCTGAAACTCGCCAGCGGCATCAGTTTCCGTGTCTCCTTCAGCCGGTCCCACGGGCTCAGCACGTCGCCCTCTCTCTCCTTGCCGCTGCCCGGCCCTGTCCGCCCCCACTGCCCCTTCTTGCGCGCAGCAAGCTTGTTACTCACGTCCAGCTCCCCCACTGTCACACACCGCCGCGCCTGCGCCAGCCGGCTCTGCACGATCGCCTTCCCCACTGCCGTCCGCGCCTGCATCTCTTCCGCGCCCGCGCCCCCCCCCTCTCCGCCTCCCCCTCCGCCCCCGCTCCCCTGCCCGCTGCTCCCCGCAGCAGCAAACGCAGCAGCTGCTTCCGCCGCCTGTTGCATGAGAGCCGCGTCACGGTCACCGGTAGGAGACACCACTGCTGCTCCTGCTCCTGCTCCTGCTCCTGCTGCGGGGGGGGCGTTGCTGCTGCTGCTGCTGCTGCCGGGACTGGCAGCGCCACCGCCACCACGCCACTTGCTGTGAGTCAACGCTCTCAGCACGCCCCCTCCCACTGCTGCAGCAGCACCCGCTGCAGATGAGAAGAGGCCTGCTCGCACCGACCCTGGTGACGGCTGGCTGGCAGGCGACACAATGGCAGGGGAAACAGCACCTGACGGAGCACCTGAAGGGGCACCTGACGCGGCACCTGAGGCGGCGGCAGCTGTGGGGGAGAGGATGCTGGCGGAAGTGGGGGAGACGAGGCGGGCGGACCCAGGGGAGGTGGTTTGAGAGGTGGTGGCGGAGGGGGAGATGAGGCGGGCGGAGGTGGGGGAGAAGACGGCGACAGCAAGCGCGGAGGGGCGCGCGAGCCCCTTGAGTTGCAGCACCTTGCGCTCCTCCTCGTCCATGCCCGCTCCCCCCACTCCCCCCACAGGCACCGTTGGCAGTGGGCCTGCAGGGAGAACTGTAGCAGGGGCGGCTGCTACTGCCACCTCCTGCTGCTGCACCGCCTTCTCTCCCGCCTCCATTTCCTCCCTGCTCTCCGCCGCCGTTGCTGCTGCCCCCATGCCCTCCTCCCCTCCTGCTCCCGCCCTTACCACCGCACTACCAGCCTTTCCATCTCCCTGCTTCTCTTGAACCTCTGAATGAGCTTCCACTGACTCGACTCCCTCCATACCTACCTCCGTACAACCCCCAATGGCCCCCACAGACTCAACTCCCTCTGCTTCCTGCTTGTCATCGCCCTTCTCCCTCCCCTCCTCTCTTTCCCTTTCACTTTCCTTCTCCCCTTCCTTCTCTCCTCCCGCCTCTCCTCCCTTCGCCCTCACATCCTCCTCCCTCTTTTTCCCCCTCTCCGCCCTCTCCCCATTCTCAACCGCCCGTCCGCTCTTCCCCGCGCCCCTCTCCCTCTCCTTAATCCTCTCCCACTCATCCTTGCGCACTTTTCGCACCGTCCCCCGCCCCTCCTCCTTCCCGCCCCTCCCCCCTGCTCTCTCCCTCCGCTTCTCTCCCTGCTCCTGCAACCGCTCCGCCACTCTCTCAACCACAGCACCCACCTGAAACCCTTCAAACATATCCGAAACTGCGCCCTCCGCCCCGTCTCCCCCCTTGCTCCCCGCGCCTCCCCCTTCCCCATTGGACAAGGTCGGGGGAACGAATCCGGGGGAAACAGCCATGGGGGAGACGCCAGTGGGGGTGAGCGCAGTGGGCGTGCCCACAGGGGGAGTAATTGCGCCAAACTCCTCCCCCACCCTTGAAACGCTCCTCCGCCGTCTGCTCCCCCTCCCCCCAATCGGGGACCTGGCGGGTTTGCCTCTCCCCGCCCCGCCCCCCTCCTCCCCCGCCCCTCTCCCCCCCCCTTCCTCTGCCACGCGCCTCGACCGGCTTCTACTGTAGCCTCTCTCCCCGGGCGGCCGCGTGGGGGGCGGCGTGGCGTGTCTGATCTGCGCTGCTGCGCCATCACCCCCCGCAGCCCCCGCTCCGCCCATTTCCCGCGGAGACGCCCCCTCTTTGCCCCTCTCCCGCCGCCTCTCCCTCCTCTCCGCGTCCTCGCCCCGCCCAAACGACTTTCCCCGATAGGGGCTCACAGGGGTGCGCGCGCCCCCCGCCCCCCCTGCGCCCTCCGCTGCGCCTTCGACCCCCCGCATAATCTCCTCCATGCCTGACCGCGACTGTGTCCGCCTGCGCTCCCGCGGGCGCCTCGGCCTCTCCCCGCCCGCGGGGCTCGCTGCAGCGCCCACGGGGGACTCCAGCGCGCCCGCCCCGCCTTCCCCCGTCCCCCCAGCGCGCGCGCCTCTGGCCCTGCTGCGCGGAGTGACATTGGCGGAAGCCCCTCCGCGCGACCCTGGTGTGAGCGCCGCGTCGTCTGCGCGCGGCTGCACCGCATCCAGCGGGGAGAGCGGGGGGTCGGCGGAGGCAAGCGCGCCCGGAGTGGTGCTCTCCGCTTCCCCGTCCCCGCCCATCGCCGCCTTCACCGCTTCCTCCAGTGCGCGCGACCGCGTGCGCCCCAAGCGCCGCTGACGTGGCGCTCCTTCTCCCCCCCCTGAACCTTCCCCTATTCCTTCCAAAGCGCCCTCCCCGCCCTCCGCCACCCCCTTGCTTTTGCTCCTTGCTTTCCCCTCCCCCTCCCCGCCCCACTCATCCCCCCGCCCGCTTCTCGATCTCGGCCGTCCATTCTCCCAATCTTCCGCGCTATCTACGCGGATGCTCCGGGACCGCCGCCCCTCCGACCCCCTGCTATGCCGCGACCGCGGGCGCACCTCCCCCGCTTCCCCTTCCGCGCCCTCCCCCCGACCAGAGCGCGACCGGGGGCGAGAATCGTCCTCCCCGCGAAGCCCATGCGCGCGCTTGTGGTGCTCGTGCGCGGACTCCCCCCTGCTCGACCGCGACCGGGAGCGCAATTCCCCTTCCGCGCCCGTCTCCCCCCCGCGCCCGCTCTTCGACCGCGGTCTATCCGCGCCATCCCCGCCGCGAAAACTCCCCTTCTCCCTCCGCTCCCTGTCCCTATCCCGATCCCGATCCCTATCCCTGTCCCTATCCCTATCCCTTTCCTTCTCCCGGTCTCTATCCCTATCCCGCGCGCGCTCCCTTTCCCCGTTGGCGGCGTGCGGCAGCGCCGCCTGCAGCGCGAGCGAGAGTGGTCCGTCGTCCTCCTCTACCTGTACCACCATCACCTCGCCCGTCTCCAACATAATGCGACCCGATACTGTCCTCCCCGAAGCGCCCTGATGCACCACTGTGGCTTCTAAGAGCCGCGCCGGGATGGTCTTAGTCTTAATCTCCCCGCCCTCGCCTATCTCCTCCACCTCCACCTCTATCATCGTGTCTCCCGCTCCCCCCGCGGAAGCACCCGCGCCTCCTCGCCCTGACATCCCCGCAGAATCCCCCGCGCCTCCGCTTCCGCACCCCCGCATGCTGCCCCCGGGCGCATCAAGAAAATCACCAGGGGCGGCGCCCGCCCCTCGTGACTGTAACGAGGGCGACTCGTCCTCCGCTTTCATGCTGGACCCCTTCACTCGGATTCGATTGCGCGCCGAATCCGGTCCGCCCGGATCTTCCGGCGTCTGCGGGCGCTGCGGGGTGTCTCCGCGCCCCGCGTGCGGGGGAGTGGGGGAGGGGAGGGGGTGCTTTTCCGCCGCCGCCGCGGACGGCGGAGTGGTGGGGAAGTGCGCGGAGAGGCGCGACTCGACCTGCCGCAATCGCAGGAAGCTTATATCGAGAGACTTGTCGTCAGCAGGCGGGTTACCCGCGCCCTTACTGCCCAGACGCCCCGGCATCATCCCCGGTAGTATGGGCCCGCTAATAGCGCCGCTGCTAACACCCCGCCCTTGCGCCGCGAGCGAGTCCGCGTGCCGCCCGCTGCGACTGCTACTCAATAGCGCCGCCGCCGCGGTCGCCGCCGCTTCCTGCTGCTGCTGCGACGACTTCGCGCCGCGCTTACTCCCGAGCAGGCCGCCGGCGTTAGGAGACAGCAAGTCCCAGTCTAGAAGCCCTTTCTTCTTCGGCTTGTCTCCGACCAGAGGCGATTTTACGTGCGGGGGTAGCGGCGACAGCACCTCGTGCGACGCCGCGTGCGAATTGAACCCACTGGTAACACCGTCGCTGTCCGTGCTGTGCGTATCCGACGTAACGGACACCGCGAGCGACGACGACGGCGGAGAGCCTACGCCCTGCAGCGGCGTCAGCCCCTGCCGCAGCTGGGACCGCCGCGCCTCTGTCGTCTTGCGCCGGTCCGCGGGGAAGGGGAAGGGGCCCGAGTAAAAGTGCCTGGGGCTTGCCGCCTGCGCTTCCGCCCCCCCTTTGCTGCTGCTGTTGCTGGTGGCGGAGGGTGCGGCACTGCTAGTGGCGGAGCTTTCCTTTTCTTTCCGCAGCCCCCCGAACTTCCACATGCCTTTCTTAAACACAGACGCCACTCCCTTCATCCGCGACTCGCCCCCCGCCGCCGCCTGCGCCGCTCCGCTCCCCCCCGCATCCCCCGCGCCCGCCCCCTTGCTGCTGCTCCCCGCCAGCTTCGCGTCCCCCCCCGCGGGCACCAGCAGCGGAGGCGGCTTGCGGAAGAGGCTCTGCGGGCGCGACTGAGGCGGGGGCTGTAACGACGGCGGGTGGGGCTGCATCGATGCAGGTAAATGTGTTTTCAGGGGCTCACCTTGCTGCCCCTGCTGCTTCAACTCTCCTTTCTTCATCAGAAATATGTAGAAGGCGTTTTGGCTCATAAACGCCTTCTTGTGTGTGGTTTGTGTTGTGCGAACCGTGATTGACCCCGAGGGCAATAAACCACCCAGGGTATTGCCCTTCGTGTATGGAAAACGGGGGGGTGTCCGAACCAGCATATACGCCCGATTGTTCAGCTACAGTGTCGGAGAGTAAGCCGGGGTTGATTGGGTTTGGGCAGTAGTTTTTTTTTTTGAAGTTATATTTCTGGTCGTAACAAATTTTTGAGGGGTATCCATTCCTAGATGAGCACGTGCTAACCCCTACTTGGGGCTGGCAGAACACGCCTGCACGGGGGTGGGTTCAATCCCAGGACCTCATCTATCGGAAGTGCCTCTTTCTACTGACTAGGCCACTTCTGGATGGGTTTGGGCGGTAGTATACGATAGTTCACGAGTGGGGAAGGTTCAGTGGTAAATGAGCTGAGGGGTCAACCGCGATTCACACTACCCTCCATTTATGGCGGGATGGTGGGGTTGAACGTCTGCGAACGACCGTTTACCATCGTCAACCTTCTCCACTGGAAATGTGCAGAGCGCTACTGTTACCACCCGGTAACCTGATTTGGTTACCTGACAGAACTACACTTGGAGACACTAAAATTTTGTTTAATAAATATAATAACGATCGTGGGGTATCTTGGTAACCATATTTGGGTTACCTCACAGGCCAAATTCAGCATTATATACGATTGGACGGTGAATATAATAACAGTGCTTTCTCCAGTCGATTAAAAATACTAATTCAAATCTCAACGATAGGCAGAATACAATATAATTTATATAAACAATTAAGAATACAAACTTGGAAGTTAATTAAACTCCAACTAGCACTCCTGTTATATGTAAGTGTTGAGATAAGAACTTAGGAGATTAGGAGCTTGGAGGGAGAGTAGCATAGTGAGATGGTTATCGAGGGAGTTTAGGTTGGCCAAAAGAGGGGTTTGATATTAGGCAAGAGTACAAGATATAGGAGAAGGAAGAGAGAAGAAGAGGGTACACCACCAGCAGTTGAACCTAATAACTAACTAATACACTAGCAAGCTGTAGGCAGTTAGGATATGCAATATAATTCAACACACCCCCGTAACTGCCTACGGCTATAGCTAGTGGTGTCTGGCACCAGGTCGCCTGGAGAGCGGTTGCTGTAGCTGGGATAGGCACAGAAACAGCGGTGGCTGAGCGGCAGCACCTGTGAACGCCAGAACGGAGGAGGGCGCAGAGAGCGCGGAGGAGGGCTGGGATAGCCGGAGGGCGAAGGATGCTGGTCGCTCGCCATCTACGAACAAACACAACTGTTGGTGAGGAGGAGGAAGCTGGTGGTGGTGCATAGGAGGAGAGCAGAGGAGAGGTGGCTGGAGGAGAGGAGAGAGGAGGAGGAGGTGCGACTGTAGGAGAGGAAAGTGGAGGAGGAGATGCGGCTGGAGGAGAGGAGAGGAGAGAGGAGGAGGAGATGCGGCTGGAGGAGAAGAGGAGAGGAGAGGAGAGGAGAGGAGAAGAGGAGGAGGAGAGGAGAGGAGAGGAGAGGAGAGGAGAGGAGGTGAGGAGAGGAGAGAGGAGGAGGCGGCTGGAGGAGAGGAGAGGAGAGGAGAGAAGGAGAGGAGAGGAGAGTGGAGGAGGAGAGGAAGTGCAGCGGAAGGAGGAGGAGAAGGGGGAGGCGGCTGCCTGCACATACCCGCCACCCCCACACCCTCTCCCCCCCCCCCCCCCCCCCCAAACGCGGCACGAACTGCAGATGCACGGGCAGCGATGAGGAGGAGGATTAGGGATGGGCGGGAGGGTTCAAGGGGGCTTAAGCACCCCCGTAGCCGCGGGCGCGAGCCTCGCCACCTCCCCCCCGCAACGTCCACTGTAGAAGAGAGCGACGGCAGGTGCGGAGGCGGTCAGCGGGGTGGCGATGGCGGGGGCGCTGGCGGCCGCTGCTGGCGCTGGCGCTCGCGACCGGCGCTGGCGCTGGCGCACGTCGCTGGCGCTCGCGCTGGGGACCGGCGCTGGCGCTGGCGCTCGCGACAGTCGCTGGCGCTGGCGCACGTCGCTGGCGCTCGCGCTGGCGTCAGCGACGGTCAGAGGCGCTGGTGCTGGCGTCCGCGACCAGCGACGGGGCGACGCGACAGCGCACGGTACGGGGCGACCAGCGCGTGGGGCGGGTAGCACGGGGCGTTCAGCGCGGGGCAGGCAACGGGCGAGCGCCTCGAAGGGCGCAGCAACGGTCGCCATGGCAACGATGGCAGCCATGGCAAATAACAAGGTCCTTAGAAGGACCCAGCTCTTAATACCATGTTGAGATAAGAACTTAGGAGATTAGGAGCTTGGAGGGAGAGTAGCATAGTGAGATGGTTATCGAGGGAGTTTAGGTTGGCCAAAAGAGGGGTTTGATATTAGGCAAGAGTACAAGATATAGGAGAAGGAAGAGAGAAGAAGAGGGTACACCACCAGCAGTTGAACCTAATAACTAACTAATACACTAGCAAGCTGTAGGCAGTTAGGATATGCAATATAATTCAACAGTAAGACACTAACCTGCCCCACACCCAGCTAGTTTGTTTACCTAGCTACTATGCAGGTCTCGTCAACGAAATATCATCACAGCAATCACAGCAACAAGAACAATCACGAGTTAAAGCGTCAAATGAGATACTTAATGAGTACCTTGAGATGCACGAACATACGGTTACACGACTGCGCAATAATGAACCTGTTTCACAACGACAGGACAAAGATAGCAGTTAGATCATGACAATGGCAGCTTAACAATGAAAAATATCCGCCTAACGCGCTGCACAAACGATCCGGTGAAACCACGAGATTAGATAGCGGAGAAGGTAGCTGTGGAGTGAACGAGAGAAATAAACAGACAGCGAACGAAAAAAAAAGGGAAACCAAACCCATGAACTTCAGCAGCTTTAACATTAACAAGACGGAACAGCGAAGGCAAAACAGACCACGATCGCTCACCTGGCGCTTCAGTGTCCGACCGTCGCAGCTATTGTAATTAACGGACTAAAAGAAGACGCGAAATACAAGCTGAAAAAAAACTCGCTCAACAAAAGTCAGGTGTTGCTTGCGTGGCTAGCAGAATCGGTATTAAAGAGCCAGGGAACTCGCACGAGAGGGAAGGTGCTACTGGATCGGCAAGCGGAAACAGAAAGAAACACTCGGGATAATCGAAACATCTACGAAAAAATGGCAGTCATACCTCGAGTTAAGGAAACTAGCATCGGGGCAGGTGGAGTCACGGGAGCTGACTGACGGGAGCAGACACACCAACCGAGCAGAAACAAATGAATAACGAACGACGGGGTATGCTGGAGTAATAGGCGTCCAAAGGAGGAAGATGGGAGGGAGGGAACAAGGAAGAGCGAGTGCTGGGGGTGTGAACCTCCAGGAAAGTGGGAGAGGGGGGGAGGGTGAGGTGGGGTTCGCGCACCGCCAGGAATGGATTAGAAACCACTAGAAGCAACCAGCGGGGCATAGAAAACCTCGCGTGGCAAGAGACATGCTGGCGGGGATGGCAAAAGGAAAGATGCTTTGGCAGGCTCGTTCGACTGCCAGCGCAGCTGGTAACAAATGAACCTGGTCGAACCGCGTGCTAGAGGGATAATACGATGCACTGCTCGGCAATCTCATTGGCGGGGTGGGCTGTACTGCTGCCATGTTTTCTTCTGACCGTTTCGTTACAGCACAGAAAAGATGCTGTGCCTTGCTGTGCTGCTTGCAATTCTGAAGCGACCAATAGGACAGGCCGAGCTGTGCCTGGTGGTGTGGTTGTTATTGGGCGTCCAATGGGACTGACCATGAAAATCCAGCGCAGCAACGGACAGAGAGGACAGCAGATAGACGCACGTCACGCTCGTCACCATGCCTCGTCACGCTCGTCACTCTGCCTCGTCACGCTCGACACGCTCGACCAATGAAACGGCCTGGGAATGCCAGCGCCATATGTGCACGGGGAACAAAATAATCGGAACAGCGGAAAAACGTGGAAGAGTGGGACAGCCAGCAGAAAACACCTACAATGCGTTATTTACTGTTTTGTTCCGAATGCCGTTCTGTTATGGTGTCTTATTATATGTTTAATTTTCCTTGTTCTTACAACTAGACTGTCAATTTTAATACCATTCCATCAACTTGCCATCGATATTTTTTACCTGTGACGGCTAGATTTGGTAGCACCAGGGACATTGAAATGGGTGCTTGAGTATATTCGTGGTATGTATGTACGACAAAATAATGTGTCCAACAACAATGCTTTAGTATGGTGTCAGAATCCCAACCACTAGACCATTGGGATAAAAGGGCTTGTTAAGTAGCGGGTCAGTGCGCCCATAACCCCCCAGGACAACGTGCCTGTAACCCTTCCCTAGGATCAATCGGGGATCACCAGTGGACCTCTGACACCCCCCCGCACTGGGATGCCCGAAGTGCACACACTGGGATTCGAACCCGAGACCTTCGCTCTGATACCATGTCAGAATCCCAACCACTAGACCATTGGGATAAAAGGGCTTGTTAAGTAGCGGGTCAGTGCGCCCATAACCCCCCAGGACAACGTGCCTGTAACCCTTCCCTAGGATCAATCGGGGATCACCAGTGGACCTCTGACATATGGGGTGTATCAGATTATGCATAACTATGTTTCTAAATTAATATCTACCATAACACATAGAGATGCTGCAATCTTGATAAGGGGACATTGTGAGATGCGGCCTATCCTTGCGTAGTTGTGCTAACGAGCTCCAATTAGTTCCTTTGGCAAGTTAATAGTGACAAAGTTCTTAGCTAGGCTTAGGAGCCATAGCTAGTGAGGTAGGAAGTTGAGTTCGAGTTTAGGAAAAATGTCGAGAGGAATGAGGGGTTTCACTATAGGTTCAAGGGTACAAATATGAGACAACAAGCAAGAAAGGTGCACCACCAAATAGGAAAACGCTATAACTACAGTAACCAATCCTACAGGCAGTTACATATAGAAAATATTAAATTATATTTTCCGACACGCCCCCATA